CACCCACCCACCCACCTACCTACCTACAATGGTCACAGTTTAAAAGTTACTTCAAATTTGAAAAGTACTTCCTGGGAATTACTATGTGGAATATTAATAGAACCAGTAATCTCACTCTCTCTCTATATATATATCTATATATACACACACCTATCTATCATGCCCATCATAACAGTGTATCTTTGCCATCACCAGATGTCATCTTGCTTAATGCCACACATTGATTATAATGAAAGGTACTATGTTCACTTACCATAACTTGCATAGATTTGTGCTCTCCTGCTCTGTGGGGTACAACCCCTGGTTTTAACATCACAGGTTTACACAATCAGAGTTCGGTTTCATATGATACTTCAATATGCCCAAGCTGCAGTTTATCCATGTGATTATTTGCAAATTTCTTAATATTTGAATTGTTCTCCCACTTACCCCTAAAGTTAAATCTAATCCATGCACACTGTTTTCACTCCTGTCCGTGGGCTTACTTCTAGTGCATGACTAAGTCTCATCAAGATTTGATTTTTACTTAAGATATTTCATGAAAGTGGCATTTTTACCAGCTTTTGTTTATGGGGTCACAGCCCTAGCAGTCACCCTCAGAGAAAAGAAAACTGGAAGTTTGTTGTGGTGCCAGCGAGAGCTAGATGAACTGATAGGAACTTCCCATTAAGAGGTCAACAATGTCCATGAATTTTCTTTGGTCACAGTCACAATCTTTGTGGTAGGTTTTTAAGAGTCATTCATGTTTTAAGTTCTAGTAGTGTGGATCCTCAAAGAAAGTGAATTTTAAAACATCATGCAAAAAACTAAGCTGCATATATTAGCAGCCCTGAGTGTTAGAGAAACAATGTAGTGTAGCTTAGCTAACCAACCACAATTAGCAAAGACAGCTCTCAAAGAGCAAAAAAAGAATAATTATACTGACAAATATATCTGAGGAAATGGCGACACACTCATGAATGTTCCATGAGCAGAAAAAAAATAAACTGACCAACATTTTATTCATTCATTTCTTATGCCCATTAATTTAAATTCTACACAGGTTAATGATGAAGGAATCTGCAATATCTGATTAATATGACTTATTTTGATAGAGCCCTCTGGTTAAATTATATTCTTTTGTAGGTATTAAGAAAGAAGTAAGTTCAGGGTTTCATGGAGTTTTGGTTTCTGGTTTGTGGTATAAGGATACAGAGAGGCATTTTCTATTGCTATTATGGAACAGTCTGTTAATTAAGGCCCCAGTCAAGAAAACAGCCCTATTCCAGACAACACTAAAATACATCTGTGAAGTTGAGCACATGCACAAATGATCTCTAGGATAGGACTAGGCGTAAGCATGTATACAAGTGCTTTCCTGAAAAAGTATTCAGTGAATTAGATGGTAATTTGTTTTATTTTGTATTGAGTTTTGGAGGTTTGTAAATAATGTAGAACATGCAGAGCTTGATACAAGAGAAGCAAGGAAAGAAAGAGAGAATTTATAAAATCTCACAAGCCAACTAATTTACCAGCCAAAACCATTGGTATAAGTCAGAAAATAACTGTGTCTTTTATCAGAGCAGATGGAGAATAGAGTAATGATTACAAACTAAACCTATGTTGTTAATTAACAGTGATAGCAGGCTGCATAGCAGAACATACCTCTTTAAACTCCTGAATCTGTGTTTGCTCAAACATGGAGAATACATTGGAGCCACCTCCTTCTGTCTTCTTCTTCGCCTTTTTTGGAGCCTATAAAACAAATGGAAAGATCACACATATAACAACTCACGTGTTGAACACCCAGGTAAGTCACTGAATGTTTCTTTTACAGCAGGCAAGAGCAGCACAAGAGGATTGTATCACGTTTTATTTTCTCCCTTGGTTTTCTTATCAAGTCAGTTGTATAACAAGCATATAAACACAGAAAAATGATGCTACAGTTATAAAGCATAGGATGAATTTCTACCAGGGAGGTTTTCTTGCCCCAATGAATTGTTCAGATAATGCAAGCAGCCAGCAAGGGAGCTCCTTATTCTACCTTATTGCCCTGCATGGGCAGGTAGT